AGATTATTCATAGTTGGAAGGGACCTTTGAGATCATCGAGTCCAACCTTAAAAAAAAGAAGAAAAAAACCAAAACCAACACCACCACATCCATCCACAAACAGACACAAATAAACAATCCCGGGCATTAGAGCATGCCCTGAAGAGCCATGTCTACACATTTCTTAAATACCTCCAGGGATGGTGACTCCACCACCTCCCTGGGCAGGCTGTTCCAGTGCCTGACCATCCTCTCAGTAAAGTAATTCTTCCTAATATCTAATCTAAACCTTCCCTGCCACAACTTCAGATCATTTCCTCTGGTCCTGTCATTATTCCCTTGGGGGACGAGGCCAACCCCCACCTCTCTGCAACCTCCTTTCAGGTAGTTGTAGAGCGCAATGAGGTCTCCCCTCAGCCTCCTCTTCTCCAAACTAAACATGCCCAGTTCCCTCAGCCCCTCCTCATATGACTTGTTCTCCAGACCCCTCACCAGCTTGGTGGCTCTCCTCTGGACACGCTCCAGCACTTCAATGTCCTTCGTGTAGTGAGGAGCCCAGAACTGAACACAGCACTTGAGGTGAGGCCTCACCAGTGCCGAGCCCAGAGGCACCATCACTGCCCTACTCCTGCTGGCCATGCTATTCCCGATACAGGCCAGGATGCCATTGGCCCTCTTGGCCACCTGGGCACACTGCTGGCTCATGTTAAGCCGGCTGTCCACCAACATCCCCAGGTCCTTTTCTGCTGGGCAACTTTCCAGCCACTCTTCCCCAAGCCTGTAGCGTTGCCTGGGGTTGTTGTGACAGAAATGCAGGACCCGGCACGTGGCCTTATTAAACCTCATCCCATTGGCCTTGGCCCATTGATCCAACCTGTCCGGAGCCATCTGTAGCACCTTCCAACCCTCAAGGAGATCAACACTCCCACCTAGTTTGGTGTCACCTGCAAACTTACTGAGGGTGCACTCAACCCCCTTATCTAGATCATCAATAAAGATATTAAACAAGACTGGGCCCAAAACTGAGCTCTGAGGGACACCACTGGTGACCAGCAGCCAACTGGATTTCACCCTATTAATCACAACTTTCTGGGCACGGCCATCCAGCCAGTTTTTTACCCAGTGAAGAGTACACTTGTCTATGCCATTAATCACCAGCTTCTCCAGGAGAATGTCGTGGGGGACAGTGTCAAAGACCTTACAAAGTCCAGATAGGCAACGTCCACAGCCCTCCCTGCATCAAGAAGGCAGGTCACATGGTGACAGAAAGAGATCAAGTTGGTTAAGCAGGACCTCCCTTTCATAAACCCATGCTGGCTGGCCCTGATCCCTTGCCTGCCCTGCACTTGTCTAGTACACAAGTATCAAGTAACTTAAAAGAAGTTTTTATCACTTTGTCAAAACCATATTAATATCCTGTGACTCAGAGGTGTGATTGCCTTTTTGGTCTGTTTTTTTCTTTTAAATTGGACTATACAAATACATGAACCCCTGACAGCATTCGGTGTTAGGAAATCCAAAGACAATGGTCTACCACCTGCAAAAAAATTGCCAAGTGATCAGGACAGGCGATAATTCATCTCACTAAATCAGATGGTGATCCACACACTTTCAATAGCAATACCAAAAGAAATGTGTTCAACTGCACAGGGAGCAAGGACTATGGAAAGGACCTAATAGGATCATTCAGAAGGACTTATTTGGCCATCTGTGACAAAGATGAATTTTTCAATCACACTTCTAGACACCATTCAAACTTTTGTGGCTAGGTGCCCTTTGAAGAATGTCTAGGTTCAAAAGGTAGAAGTGATCTCTCCAAACATATCTGACACTCATACACGTAAAATATATTCCATGTGATAACCTTCTATGCATGACAGTGATTTTATGGTTGCATCTTTACCATGCCTCTTTCCTCCTTCTGAGACAGAAAGGACATCAGTACAAAACAAGAGTCAGTAACAAGGAATATGAAAGCCTTAAAAATCCTAGCAGTAGCCACAAAGCACTGAGAGATGACCTGCAAAACCTAAGGCATGAGGACTTGTGATTAGTTTTTTAATTTGATAAAATATGTATTGGCTGGTGCCCAATCCCTTAGATAAGTCATGTACATAACTATAATTTAAAACAGGAATAAAAGCACATTTAAGTAAGAATATCAATTCAAATCTGGGTAGTAATTAGTAATTGGACACTTGTACATAGCCTCTAAGTGCAAGAAGACGAATTGCCTCTTGAGACACCAATAGACAAATTCAGGACATTTTTGCCTGCCATCCTAATTAAAAAAAAATGCTATTACTTGTTTTCAAATCCTCTTACATAAGTGTCAACTGCTAAAGCAACTACTATAGTGATATCGTGGGGATTCAGTATCTTTCTTCGCACAAACAATGGTAATTTATGACTATGTTTAATGAGAATTCAGTTTCTTATATGTCTGCAAATTCACTGGACACCTTGTTTTTTGGAGGACAGCTTCACTTCAGCATGGCAGCCTGCACAGATCTGTAAGATGGGATTTCATATGGGAGAATGGCTGCGCTTCAGTTGTTTTTCAATATTTGGTTGTATCGTGTTTATTTTCCATCTGAAAGGATTAGCCTAAGGACAACAAGGCAGGCTAAAGCTGCTCAAAATCCCCTGCAGACTCTGCTATCACTATCTCTGATGGCTTTGTCCCCTAGCAACTATCAAGTAATTGGCACAAACGCTTACTTCTGAGCCGGCAGCTTCTGTTAGCTCAGTTTCATACCACCCAGGCTCAGCCAAATCAGAGTTCATCTCTCCAGAAGTTTCAGGAAGCAGACACTGAGGCCACAATTTTTAGCCATGCATTTAGCTCACAATATACAAATCCAATTTAAAATTAAGAACAAGTAAGTTTTGCTCAGTTAAAAGACAAAATTGTGCACTCTCCTGAGCCTGCCCAAGGTATGCACAGCTGACAGCATCATTACAGCCAGCTCTGCTAACGAGTTGCACAGGCCCATCTACACAGCACAATGCAGCACCATGTGAAGGTCTCAGCCATCAGCAGCTGGAACATCTGTATGCATACAGCAGCACCTTGCAGAAATACAGGCAATGGATATCTGACCTAGGTAGTCCTGCGCTGTGCTCTCAACAGCATCTGCAGGCCCTTTGGAAAGCACCCCAGAGTGCCCACTCTGCCTCAGCCTGGATGTTTAGAGAGATGCCAAAGCTGTTTCACATGTGTAGCACACTAAAAGTAGTTTCTCAATGCAGTTGAGTCTGTCCCAGGGCTAGCTGCCTTACCTCTCCCCACCTCCTGCTCCTGCCCTTGCCCAGGACCTTGTCCAATCCTCTCTGATAAGCCACGTAAAGGTTGAGCCAGCTGGTGGTGGGAGGTGGTGGGACAGTGTACAGTTGGGGGAGAGGAGTCGTTGTTGGTTTTTTGATTCAGTTTTGGTTTGTTTTTTCTAACTCGTTCTCCCAGTTCACTCTGGGGTCATTAGTGCTGGTGCAAGGGAGAAGATGGGAATCCACAGAAGTGGACTGAGTGCATGTGGGGAAAAGAGCCAGAGCCGGTCTCAGAGTGCTGTGAGATCAGTTCAAGCTGCAATTTGATAATATAGCCAAGTTCACTGCAGGAGAATATTGTAAAAGAGCTAAGTACTGTTAACTTAGCAGCTGGTGGTAATTAACTATGCACAACATATTCTAGATGAAACCCACCAGCAAGTATTTCTATTAAATCGTAGTAACAACAATCTGTCAAAAAAGAAAACATGTCTTTCAAACTTATACATACATTTGAAACCAGCACTCTCTGGTGAATATATAGCAATGGTAAGTCAGCAGTTTCCAAAAATGGATTTCATTGCTTAGAGTTGTAAGGATGGCACAGCAGTCTGACAAGCAACAAGCTGTTATTACTCTGCAGTGGTGGCAACTGCCTAGCAGGAACACAGTGCTTGGTACTTGGCTGCCAGAAGGTGAATTCTCAGATACAGGTATTTCACAGCAGAGGTAAACAAGTAATTGTTAAAATTAACTACATGTCAAGCAGCTACTACTACTCATTATAATAAGCTAGAGAAACAGACCATCAAATTCATCTTGTTCTTACTACCTTCAGTATTGAAACCCTGAAGAATGAACAAAGTATCTTCATACGACTCCTATAAAATCAAATTAGGACGTACTCCCATGAAAACGAATGTAATTGCTCAGCTGTTTTCTGTTTCCTTCCACAACAAAGCAGCAGCAGAGGTCATATTTCCCAACTTCTGAAACAATTAGCTCACAAAATCTCAAGTAAGAGCGATATTAGGTTTTTTTGGCTTCCTTTTTTATTAGGAAGAATGCATTTATCCTCATTTAAACTGGCTAAGATGTTAATACCATTGTTTGTAATGACTGCATCTCAAAAAGCCAGGTGTCAAACGTGATTGTTAAAATATCAAGGAACAAACAACTACGTGAAAAAACCTTGTTCTACAAAATGCATTCAAACTGATCTCCCAATAACATCTTTGTTTTGTCAATGGGATTAAATTAGAAGAGACTCTTTCCTAGCTGACCTTCAAATAGCATCCCTTTTAGTCAGTGGAATTAAATTAGCACAGAGCTTTTCCTAACATTAGAACAGAAAGAAAGAAAGAAATATAAAAGCAAAGGGAAGCAATAAAAATGGCACACCTACCAGTAAACTGCCAGTTTTCACTCCTGAGTAACTGCAGTTACTATTTAGTAAAATGGTGCTATGCTGAATTATTTATTTCCTGTTAAGTTCCTTTCACCTGACAATCTAAAAAAAGATTTTTGAAAGAGAAAACTTAACAGCAGTAACTTTCCTCACAATGTATCTCACATGAAGCTTGTGCACAGTTCCTTGAGCTAGTCGTCATTCTCAGTATGACATGCAGAGGCTTAATGGTGTACTGGAAATTACTAGACTTTTTTCTACATCCCTGAGTCAGTAACACACCTCTTTCCGTATATTTTGTAATAAGTACTGGTAGTGTTTGGCAGGGATCAGGTAAGTGACTCACCTTCATCTAAAGGAACTTCTTCCTCCTCGCAGGGAGAAGGAAGGAGGGGCTGTAAAGGTTCCATGTTGATTATGAGTTGCTTGTTCAACGAGGGTGAGCTGCGACTCTGGGAAATGCTGGTTCTAAGAGAACAGGGAAAACAAGATCAGTTTATTCACAAGGAAACAACTGCAGTCCAATACGTCTCATCTCAGAAATGTTTTGTATAAATTCCAATAGGCCTTGGGCTACCGTAACAAGCTGTACACACTGAATGCTGCTTTCAGCCATGTTACGTTGCACCCTCAGCAGACATAAACCCTTCAACATCTGAAGCATAACAGAAGGTTTTGTGCTGGTTTTCTTCCCTTTACCCAGCCTGACTCTTTCTCATCTCATGCAGGATTTCAGTGTGTTGCTCCTCTCCACGCTGCACAGTAGACGTAAGTATTTGACTTGAAGGAAGGGTAAGGCAGACGGGATACAAATAATTTTCTTGATGTTGTTCCATTGCCTCCGGGACTGGGTAAAGGATTTGTTGTGGTTTGAGCACTGCAGACTAAAGCAGGAGCAACCGTATCCCTTCCGTTAACAGATACACAGTGCTCTCGTTCTCACGCACCCCAGACATTGCCTGTACACCATGCCTCCAGGTGCTCAGGCTGGTTCTCTTTCTTGTTTTATTTGGCTTTAACAGGCTTTCCTGGTAGCAGGTGTTGAACTTGCTCAAGAAAGGAATTCTGTTGATTCGCTTCCGTCATGAGGCTCATTAGCCTAAAATCGTATTACTGAGAAAATAAAATGGCTCTTTAGAATGTTATCTAGCACTTACATGATACTGGCCTAAAGCAAGAATCCTGCAATAAATAGGAACCCTTACAATATAAAATATTTAGTTTTGACAAAAGCAAAAATTAAAGGGAAGAGGATTCCACATGACTTCAAACAATACATAGGTACAGTGCTGGTTTCACAAAATGCATTTCAAGTTTGCACAAAGATTCAACTTACAATTCTACATAGACAAAAAACTGAACAAAGCACCTACTGCAAGTGAAAAAATGGGACTGTGTGCTGCTAAGAGTTTAGGTAAACCCGGGACACAGATGTCCTACTCTAAGTCACATTACATGTCATTAAATATTCTGTGGGGATAAACAAGCTTTCTTGTTCAACTGCCATGATTCGTTGCTCATTAATGTATGCCCAAAGCTACTTCTGTCCTCGTTTGCATTCTGTGAGCAGTCTCTAATAACTATTTAGTTTAAATTTTAACTATGCAAAGAAGTCTTTCTCTCAGATTACTGTAATTAGAATCATTCCAGCCCAACAGTGCCTCCACAGACTTGTTATGCATCCCCTGGATCACTGTGCTTGCTGTAAAGAGCTATCAAGCAACTCCCAAAATAGGAGTTGTGCCTGGGAGCACTCATAAGGCTCCCACTCCATATTTATTTACAAAGATCCCTCCTTCGGGCATGCCCTGGAAGCGAAATATTAAATAATTTACTGCATATTTGTCAGAAGAGCTTGCCACGGTGTTAATGCCGCACACTACACCCTCCAACAGATTTTTAGCCTGTAGTGCTTTAAGTATAATATCCAAACACAAATATATTAAACAGTAAGCTACTCACAACTGCATGTTTCTTTCTGAATGCAGCCACAGTAGCACTGAATTGTCTTTAAGGGAGGGAGTGTAGGGAGAGAAAACTTTACACATATAAAAATACATATAGATTTACCTTCAGTCATATAATTTCCTATAAATGTTTTGCATCTGAAAAACTACCATTTTCCTGTCCCCAAATCCTCTCTCACAGAGTAACTTGTTTCTAAAGGTTGCTTTTTTTGGAGCTGAAAATTTTCTATGCTTTTGCCTTCTTGGGCTATTAGAAAGACAAGCTATGTACTGATGTCTCCCATTTCGAAACCTCCATTATAAACCACTTGAAATCATTAGTCTTTTTTTTAGTCTTTCTAAGAAACTGAACTAGGAGCTACCATAATATTGTAAATGCAAGCTTTTTAAGAAGGTTAATTATAAAATTATACCTTAATATTTATGGGCATTAAATCCCATTAAATTAAATGACATTGCTCTGTAAACTTATTTGCCCTCTGATCTGTTTATTTATATACATTAAGAATTTTTAAACAGTTTGTTTAAAATACTTTAAATACTGAAATAAAAGAAAAGGAAAATACAAGATAAAAAGTAATTTTACCCTAAAATCTTTTCTTATCCGGTGGAAGAAAGAAACCATATGGAAAGTATGCAATAAGCTATTTCCTTATATGAGTTAATATTTTGATTTAAAATGCATTTGTGTCCCCAAGTAATCTACCCTGCCTCAATGATGGACCTATATTCTGCCTTCTGTGTTCTCAATTAACACATTCTGGGCTGTCACTCCATTTTTAACTGTCGTCTGCAAAAGCATGTTCAACAGTATCTCTGTATGGCCTCACTATTAACTACACAATCACAGAATCGCCTAGTTGGAAGGGACCTTTAAGATCATCTAGTCCTACCATAAAAAAATCCAAATCAAACCAAAAAAACAATCACACAACCAAACAAAACACACACATCAACACTAAACCATATTCCTGAGCACCGTGTCTACCTGTCTTTTCAACACCTCCAGTGATGGTGCCTCAACCACTTCCCTGGGCAGCCCATTCCAGTGCCTGATAACCCTTTCCATAAAGAAATTTTTCCTAATATCCAACCTGAACCTCCATAGTAGGCTTGGACAACATACTTATAAATATTTACTGCAAACATGTTCCTACCTTTTAGTAAAGAAAATCTACTTTTGTCTCAAATATAGATGGAATACACATATTCAACTAAATAAAAAGGTAACACCCAGCCCCTGCCCCTGAAAAAAATCACAATCACTGTAGAATGTCCAGAAAGTTAAGCAACCTTATAAGAAAGATTTTAAATAGCCTTCCTGCTGGCCTCTTTCGTCTCTGACAAATGACTTTAATTAGGCTCTTACCGATTTTCACTGTTCACTACAATGAGTGATAAGGACCAGAAAGTATCAGTTAGCTCACAAAGTCCAGTTGTTTATTTCTAACAACCCAAATCTTTTCTCACTAAAAAAAAAGGATTCTCTGATCTTTTTTCTCTTTACTGAATGAACTTCTTGCTTTTCAATCTGAGTGTACTAAGGAAAAACTATCAGGTATACCTTTAAACATACCCAAATACACACACAAAGCAGAATCTTTCAAAACCCAGCAAGAACTAGGAACAAAATGATAATGCAGTTTTCTGTCAGGATCACGTAATAAGAGTCTATGTCATAATACAGAAAATAAGATACTTATCTGACAGATTGATAAAACCAGCTTTGAAACAGCACAGATTAAATTCCCTTGTGTAGAAGACAATATGGTATTGTCAGAATTTTGTAACACTGGCAAACATATTTCCCAAGGTTTGCATGCCTCATTGTGGAAGCTCAGAATGACAGCCATTACACCTCATAGTAAAGGAAAGAATTTCTCTGCAGAGAACAATAATCCTCCTTAGTCCTTCAACTTTAACACTGAATGTAAAGACATACCTGTGAACTTCAGGAGGTTCCCTCTGGATTTTAGAGCTTGCCTCCACAACCTCTTTGGCTACTTTTCCACTGCATTAAAACATGAAATAAATATTCAAGTAAATACTAAGATGAGCTCATTACATGCCAGGCACTATACATACATGAACAATTAAGTTACAGTCAAAAGAAGAAAAGGAAAAGGCAAAAAAAAAATCCCATGTAGTAGATATATAATGTCACAGATGAAAAATTCTGTTGATCACTTGCCTGCAAAGCTACTGAAGAAAAAGCAAGCTTTTGCACTAGAACACTTAGAGTGGGGCTGGACCATATTACAATGCACCTTTGGTCCAGACTTGCCCAATTACTGGGGGCATGCAATCTCTACATAGCCACGCATCTTTGTTTTTACAGAAACTGCATCAAAAGTGGAGCCAGAAGTCTGCACAAAGCCTCCAGTTTATTTGGTGAGTGATGCTAAAGAGAAAACAGAAAATCTTCCAAAACCTGACCTGGATTAGGCATGGACAGGTCCTCAAGAAGGAAAAAAAGTCAATTTTCCATAAGCAATTACTGAAGTCTTCTCATACTTTCTGAAATGGTTTACCATGCAAAACAAACAGCGAACACCCACCTATATCGAAATCTACTGCCTTTAAAAAATATCTTGCTGCTGGACATGGTCTTGATCTGGCTGGATTTTGCATACCTTTAACAAAAAGAACAGAGGCCATCACACTTTCAGCAGAGGACACCTGATAAGCAAAAATGAACATGGCTAACTACAAGCTTTGTCATTTTTGTACCTCATAATAATATTCAGTAGTTCAGTCTTTATACAAATTAGAATATAAAGCATACATTAAACAATTCAGACAGCACAGAATGACTGAAGATAAAACAAGTGATTACCTGGATACAAAAGCAAGAAAATTAAATACCAACACTTGCTGCATCTCTAGGGACTTTAATTCACAGGATGACAGGAAAACCGTGGTACACCAAAAGCCCTAGGACAAGTTTGCCCTAATACCGTCTTGTTTGTGGGCAGAGATGGCTATTTCCACTTTCCCACTAGTAAAGCAATGAAATAGTAAAGAAGTGGTAACATTTCTCTTCAAAAGCAGTTGCATTTCTGATGTCAACTTCTGAGTCAACTTCTTAGTAGCCTAGATCATCCTACTGCTTCTCTCTAATCACAAAGTACACAGCAACCTTTTATCACAGTCTTTTATCACAATGATCACGGAATCAGACACACCATCTCCTTGATGTTCTCTGCCTTCAAAACGGCAAATTAATTTCATATTGAGTCTCTCATTCCCAGACCCTAGTAGGCAATATTCTATGATTTATATGTACTTGAAAATAACCACAACAGTCAATTTTGAGCCTGGATGAGGACAGGACTAAAGTTCTTTTTTTTTCAAGAAATGCCAAGAGATCATAACATTTTCTTAAATTCTAAGTCTCAATCTCTTCTAAGCAGAGGAGAGGACCAAATCTAATTAAGTTAAAGTATCATTATCATTAATTACTTACACAACTTGGCTTCATCTGTTCTAATCTGATTAGAATATCTTAGTTATCACACAGAACATAAACAGGATTTATCTAATGCTGTTAAGTAACTAACAGTCCATACTGTACAGCTCAGTTTCTCTGAAATGTAAGAAAACTTTCGCTGTTACAAAACTACTATCCTAAGCCTTTATTTACAGATTGCTTTGGCTTCTGTTTCTTGTTTGGCAGATTGTTGTTATTTTTCTGCATTCCACATATTAACCATTTCCCAATCTATCAATCAGGTTCTTCTCTGTTGAATATTGCTACCAATCTTCATTTCACCAAAGCAGTCCTCTTCAAGGATCCACCAAAATTGAAACAGGCAAGTACAATTTCAAAAATTCATGCTAAAGAAATAACACCACAGTAGTTCCCTGAAGACATCTGGAAAGTAGAAAAAAACATAAGACAAAGAGCCTTCAGGCACCAAGGTCAGAGAAGAAGGAGGGGAGGAGGTGCCTCAGGTGCCAGGGCAGAGACTATCCTGCAGCCTGTGGAGAAGACCATAGTGGAGTAGGCTGTCCCCCTGCAGCCCATGGAACACCACGCCAGAGCAGACACCCACAGTGCAGCCTGTGGAGGACCCTGAACTACAGAAGGAGGACATGGCCAGAGGGAATTTGTAGCCCCTGGAAAGCTCACACAGGAGCTGGCTCCTGGCAGGAGTTGTGGCCCATGGAGAGGAACCCACGCTGTAGGTTTATCCAGGAGGGAAGGACTCATGCTGGAGCAGTTCATGAAGGGCACTGGAGCAGGGAAAAAGTGTGAGGAAGAAAGAGAAGCAGAGAGAAACTGCTGTGAGCTGACTGCAACCCCCATTAACCATCTCCCTGTGCCACTCTGGGCAAGGAGGGCAGAGAGGAGTTGGGAATGAAGAAGTGAAGTTGAGGCTAGGAAGAAACAGGGGAGGAGTGTTTTTAGTTTTGTTTCTATTGACATTTAAAAACAGAGCAAGAAGGTGAGAAAGAAATTAAGCTTGCCCAAGTCAAGTCTGGTTTGCCCAAGACAGTAATTGATAAGCGATCTTCCCATCTTTAGCCAGACCCATGAGCTTTTTTTCATATTTTCTCCCCTTGACCTGTTGAGAGCGAGCGGCTGGGTGGCCATCTGGCATCTAGTCAAAGCCAAAACCATAACAACCATGCATTTGTGACCGAACCTCAAATACTTATTACAACCATTTAACACTAAGAGCAGAGAGATTATATTCTCATGAATCTCCCTCAGACATCTTTAATTTGAGCACTGATTTCTCCCCTTTGGCTGGGAATTGCTTCCTATTTGAGTAACATAAAATAAAACCACTCAAACACTATGCATTATTTTCTTACTAACATTTACTTCTAATGGAAAACACTTTCTGACAGTATTTTTATTAATTAAATCTCAAACACAGTCGATGTTAACATAGAGAATTAGCAGCTGTATTTTGCCAGCTCATATTTCCTGTTTCTTCAAGGAATATATCAATTAAATAGATTATATTGATATATTATTGTATCAGTGTTGAAACAAAAGAAGGTTATTAACAGTGATGTTACAAGACACATTCTTCCTACTTAGTTACTACATACCCTTACAGTACTCCCCTGGTGTTGCTATGCTCCAACACAGAAACAATATATTTTATAAAATGTGAAAGAGCTGTAAGGAGAGACCAAGTAGCAAGAATAAAAGCTACATGCCCCCAGGAAAGTGTTAATAAACATACCTAAAAAAGTCGATGGAAGGCGCAAGAGCGTTTTAATGAGGAATTATTTTCAGGCTCTCTTTTAGGGAATAGGGAGGAAGATACTCTCTTTTTCTTGTCAATTTACAGGCTTTCTCTAATAAACAAAAACCCAAGATGTCTGGCATCTTTCAAAATGTATCTAAGAATATTTTCTTTTTGTTTTTCAATTGTTGCAGAAATTTTTTTTTTTTCAATCAATTCTTACTAAATTTTGGCTTTCAAGCGGGAGAACAACACCTACTGGCAGAAGAACCCAGAGAATGAAACCAAACAGATTGTTTCCTCCATTTTCAAGGTATTCAACAGCAGGGCTAAGATTAATAACTATGTTGGCAGACACAAGTGCAGTACTGTGTCCATCCGGTCACACCACAGAGTAGTAAAAAAGTGTGCTGAACCAAGTGTAATTATTCACTGCCAAAACCCTCCTGCCTTGTTCAGATTTTAAATAATACATAATACTGTCTTGAAATGAAATAATATTGCCCATTAACTTGCATATTTTCTGTTTCCATTTTGAATCCTGTTGATGACATAGAACATTTCCCATTGAACAATCTTCTACGCACAGTCACATTTTTTTATTTTTAGTATAGATAATGACTTCACGTTTACATACTTGTAAAAAGCTTGGTTCTCCACCCCACATTTCCAAAGATGCTTGCAGGCTGCTGGTGTAGAGGTATGGAATGACAGGACAGCCTTTTTCTAAGTGCAAGAAGAAGGCAAATAGAAGTAATGAAAATGTTGAATTCTCAAAGATTGAAGTAGCTGTACCTGACAGCATCATCATGAACCCGATGCAATGAAGACCAAGTTTTCCTGTGTAGCCTCAATCTGTCATTGACCCACAGAAGTACAACCCATATGTAGCAAACATTTAAACCGCCCAGGCAATTGTTTCATAAATACCAGGGGATGCTTGGAGGGGGAAAAGAACAGCATATGTACAAGTGGCTTGTAGAACGAATCTGTACCAATGGTCTTCATGACAAAATTCAAGGAGGAAAGTCTCTATGTTCAATATTCTACATTGCACAGTTGCTGAACTATTTAGCACCCACTTCTCCCTGTTCACTATGTCCTCCTTGCAGCTACACAAACAGCCTCTCATACCTCTGGCATTATTTCCTTCCTCCATTTTCTATTCCTCACCTAGGTTGCGTGCAAAGCCATAATCTTGGGCTATACTAACCTGCCCTAGGGGAAGAACTGATTATAGCATACTGTAGCCAAAAACCTCTATGATTTCAATGGCAAGAGCCCAATGATAGGACTCCTAACTACCTAGGACAGACTCCACCTTATTCAGCTAATCGACATTTGAGGAGATGATCATAATTAGCCAAAAATACCTCATATTCCTCCAGGTATTAATTTGAATTTTCTGTATTTTTTATTCATATATAGATGTTGCTCATGCTTTAGAGTGGATGGGTACAGCTTTAGGGGTTTCAAATACATTAAAATCCATTAAAACCTCACTATACAGGTCACCAAAATAATGAGCTATCAACACAGCACTGGATGAATGTTAAGTGAGAAATGTCTCAACCTGTTGCAAATTAGAAATTTTTTTGACAACACTAATATTCACATTCAGTCATATTCTATATTTTATTTACAATATGAAGTACAAATACTGATTGTTAAGAAGTTCATTTAATTAAAACATATTGTTATGTTTTAGTTGACTTTAAATCAAACACAGAAATTCTGTAAAAATATTAAACCTGACCTCTTTCTGAGCTCCAAACACATAAAAAGTCTTCCCTTCAAACTTCAGTTTATAGACATCACACCTGAAAAGCAAAAAAATCATTTAAGTATAGGAAAAATAGACAAATGTACAGATAAGAAAAGCAACTTGCATGCAAGTCTCCCCGATTCGCCAAGTCAAGCAGGTTGTCCAGTGACAGTCTCAACAGAAGCCTTACAACTTTTAGCATAAAAGCATTTAATATTCCAATTTTCTTTAAAGCACAGAACATAAGCCCAGAGTATTTCTTTTGCATCCCTATTCACTTTCAAAGAATTAACTTTGGCTGCTGGAAAATGAAGAGGAAATTAAAAGTAGGGAGATGCTTATGTTTACATCCTATTTATTACACAGTTTGTAATTCCTCTTATATCTTAAAATCTTGGAAGGTCTAATGTAATTAAATTGCAGGAAAGACAATACTCTTAGCCTGTAAATGTTGCATAAGAAGGCATACAATTTTCTAGATGCAGGCACTTTTTACCAGCAACATCTTATCTCTGTCCTTATTTATTTGTGATTACATATCTTAGTAACTGACTACATACAGACAGAACAAAACAGGAAGAAAAAATGTTTGACAGCATTTATTATTGGGGCCTTGTGAGTTTCAAACCTTGATGAATGTCAAAAATGTCAAAATTTAATTTAACCAATGTTGAAAACACAACCCACATATGGAATAGCAGTGCACCATATAAGGGCAATACAATATCTCTGTTTAAACTGTAATAAAAATTTTGTCATTACCACAGCTAAAATAGAGACACTGTGGTTTTCCATAGACCTCTCTGAAGATTTTGGATGTTAGATGACTGAAATGGGAATGATTCTGTAGGCAAGAACAATGCTATTCAGAAATATTATAGCAAGGGTTTCGCTTTAATATTAAATGACAACAAAGAAGCCATTCCACTTGACAAAGCTTTTGCATTAAAAAGGAAATCTTAAATATGAATTTGGATTTTTACTTTGTAGTGCAAATTTCAGGTAATAACAGTTAAAGCTACCAGCATTCACTTCTAGGTCCCAGAAATTAAAGCAGCAGTGCATGATGAGTTAAATCTCACCAGATTGACCTTCCAATGGCCAACGTAACACTGAGACAGCTTAACAGCTTTTCTTCTGTCATTATTTCATCTTGTATCTGGTTTACATGCCAACAGACTAAATGAATACACCAAGAAACTAAGCACTGTGAAAGTCATTTTCCACAGTATGGCTGATACATGCTCATCAAGTGCTATTTTCTCCTCCCTGCACTACAGACTGACATTACAGCTACACTATCCTTATGCCAAGAGCACGAACCACCCAAGCACTGTGACTGAGACTACCTGAAATTAACCCTAGGGAAACTACAGCACAAATCCAGGATCACAAATGGATGGTATTTGACTGAAATCCCCAGAGCTCCACATGGAACTGAATCATACAGACAGGACTATACTGGCTTTGTACCTCTGAGGATTTGAGGTTACTTAACTCCTGGGGACGTTTCTATGGAAATGCAGCAAAGAGCCCAGCTCTATATAAAAAACCACCTCAGCATTTCTTCACTTCCTGCCCATCTTCTTCCCACAAGACAGGCTGGGAGTGCTGAGGTGGAGCAGCCACATCTAAGTAGCACCTGCTGTTGGCATCTGTATAGTAGCAGGTCTAAAATGCGATTTATCAGCTGTGCTCAGTCTGCACCACGCTGCTGAGGGCACAGCCTTCCCGGTGCTCTTACACCACCAGGGGGAGCTCACTTTAACGCCTCTCTCAAACTTGGCTGAGGCTGCCCAATGAAGTCAATTGTCTTCAAGAAGCAGGAAAGGAAAGCAAAACTAGACAAACCAAGGACCAACAAGTAAAAAAGAGGGTAAAAAATAAAAATTCAAAGGCATTTTCATGTGCTCCTCTGCTTACCAAGTAGGTTCTTTTATAGTTTTCAAATTGAGGTTAGTTAAATGAGGAAATAGCAACATTTCCAAGAGTCACAAATAATGATGCTGGTGGACTCTTGGAAACTCTTCCAAACATCTCTGCCAATAAGCCTCACTGGTGATTTACAGCACAGTTGAAAAATCAACTTAATTTTAGCATTTGTGCATTATGTTGACTAAGATACCCTGCAGAATAATTTTCACTGGTGGAAGAATGAGACCAAATTACTATTCTACTTCTCATCTAAGATCCCCTAAACATGAAATATTATGGGGAAAGAGAAGAAGTATTCATGTGGTTCACCTTAAAGACAACAGGTGAAGATAGTAGGAAGAAGGGAAGACAGAGGAGAAAGGACTTTTGCATATTAATCTAGTCTTATTTCACATGCTTACCATTTTAACAAGTGAATTCTTTTATTCCCCTGGAAAACTACAAATCCTGCAGCTGTGAATCCTAAAAATGTAGTTGTCCCCGTTGAGTCCTTGAAAGAGAGAGAAAGAAAGATAATTTCCCCCTGATGCAGTGAAGTGTTTCTTACTGATAGCATGAATTGTTACTCCACTATAGATTACCTGTATTTTGTTTCCCTTTTAGAAATAAATGTTGCCTTCAAATTGTACACTTCTAAAGAACAAAGATTGCTTATTTCTAGGCATTTAACTAGGTAATGGCACATTATGCTTTCTTTCTGTCTACCTGTAACTGACAACAACGGGAAATCCTTAGGTGTGCTTACAAGTTTTGTTGAAAACATACTTTTGTGTACGTCCCATTCTAACTACAAACCAGCAGTTCATACCCGCTTCAACACTGGTATTTTTTTAAGATTTGACAATACATTGTTCCCCTGCGAGATGTTGTGCTGGAAGTACCACTGTCAGCATTTACTGCAATAAGCAAGTACCCTTGAGTACAAACCAGAACATATGGTGATTCTTGCCTTTCAAATAGGAAAGACCATTTTTAAAAATTTTAGTTTCAAAATAAAAGCTCTGTCTCAGAGTTTTTGAGCAATGATTCAGGTGAATTTTGTATTAACTGGTTTTCCTGTCCATCCCAAGTTCCAGACCCTCACTTTGCTAAAGTTTGTCAACTTTAGCGTGCCTTACCTTCCACCAATAAAATATGGGGGAACAGACACAGTAATGCTTCTGGGGTAGCACCAAAGGAGCACTTTGTAAAAAGTCAAGGAAGCACCTTGCTTTGCAGCTCACTTCCAGATGACCAAAAAATTTTCCTCAAGCATGGGCCATGAACCCCTGCATGCCCCCACACTACAAGTCCTGCCACACAGGTAAAGAGGAAATTCTCAGCCATTTTTGACTGTGTGCCAACATATAAGTCTCTGGAATGCCCCCTGAAAATCTGCACTATAGTTTTCAACTAAAATTTACTAAGTCCCTGACTTCACTGAGCTCTGAACCAGCCCTTGCATTTCACAGAGGACCACCATTCCTAGCAGAATAGATACAAAATCCAGTGCAGCTCTGTGTTAGAGCTTACCAGAACAGCTAACTGCACAGCACTTCTGTTCCACCAAATGAGATGATATACAAGCTGAGGTAACAGCAGCAGTTAAAACACGAAGTGGGTAACACTAAAAAAAGCCCACTGTGGATTATGCAGATAAAACCAAGTAATTAAAAATGCACATGTGAGGGATAATCAGAACTGATAACTAAAATCACCTTCTTACAGAGAACCAGAAAACAGCAAAGTGGAGGAATATGCAAATGTATACTTGGTTCTCCCCTCTGTACAAGTTGGTTTGCTGTTTTCCTAAGATTTGCATATTTTGATGGTGTTTGAAAAACTAATCTGCCAAGGACTAACAATTTCTTGCATCTTCTGGACAAAAATAATAGTGCATCCTAAAAATCTTGCCAAATGTAAAATATTTTACAACTGGAGTATTTAAAGAAATCTTTGCATTAAATGCAAAGAAATTATGAAGTATAATCAAAGCTTTTGTCGTGACACTACATTCTCCTATGATGCTCCGCTTCGTCTGGAAAGACCTTTCCTTTGACTGATGCAGAAATGTCAATCAGTCAAGGTTCTTTCAAGGCTTAAAAGTAATATGCAGTTCCAGGGCAAGTTCTCAAATAAATTAATCCTTATCTGTGCCTGGATAAAAAACAGCTAAATCAATTCAACCAAGGGCTTTTTACTAAATGTTAGTGAAAAAAAAAAGATTTTTACTAAATGATAGCAAAAAATTTTGTTACCTTGCAAGGATGAGGATCAACACCATAAGTTTCCAAAGAATATGCCTTCAGGAGCAAGTTAAATTCAGCAACTGCTGGGCTCTGACCTCTGAAATTACAAAAGAAACAGTAGTTTGTCAGCAAAAAGAAAATGGGATAAAAAGACTTTTTGACTGGAGGGTTTACATGCCTAAAAAGGGAGGAAAGAAAAGTTCCTTCTGAAATACAAACTATTTCAACCATGTTCTGTTTATAATATAAAGATACAAAACTTTTCACATGTTTTCTCCTGCTGCATTGTACAGTGACTGATATTTTCAGGTAAATCCTGTTTTCCTCTCAACCCTGAGATAACAACATGTTATGCAATTAACCAGATTTATCCAATATCCTGCAAGTATTTATTGTCTTTTGATATACATGCATGTCAGCCTGAATATGATATAAATTTCAGCATCTTTTTTTCCACAGACTCCTGCTGCCCAACTCATTTAAAAGGATTGTGCACATTAACAAACATTCCTTCCAGCACAGGGATAAACACATATAAACACGGCAATCATATTACACTGGCTACTCAGATGCATGCCTAATTATAGTGGTGCCTGTTACCACCATGATAGTTCAGAATCTGTCAGCATTTTCATTATATGCTCCTATTTTTAGGGTGTCTATAATCAACCATGAATATACACTAAAGCCTGAAACATGGCATGCAAGAATTGAGTTCTAGAATAATTTTTATTATTTGATTTTTGCTCTTCTAACTCCTGAGTTGCAATAAGCTTGAACACAGATTTACAATACCTGTTTGTCAGTGAACTCTTCCAAGTATTATTTTATTCATGTATTTGCATGGCTAGAGTATGATTCTGAAATACAGTTGTGTAACAATAAGCAGCACTTGGGACCCTTAAAAAGCCAGACCTCATAAATTCTCCTCATGCAAATTATCCAAAAAATGAGCCACAGACAAATCTTCAAAGAACACAGTGATAGTCATACTTTATCCTACCCCTGCATTTTGGGCTACCATCTTACACTGCGGCCAGTGCACTTGGGAACTGGCATTTAAAAACTGCTCTTTGGACTGGTGTAAAATAATTTCCCTGTAAGTCCGTCATCCCCCAGTAGATAGAAACCAACAAGCATTGACCTACAAGGCTCAGTATCTGGCCCAAAGTTCAATATAACAATGAAGACAATGTCTAGCATGTGTGTGGATGTCAAATCCTATTTTGAACCTACCAAGTTGAGGCCCTGGGGCAATGCAAGTGTCAACAACCTTTTCTGTTATAAAGTCTTAATTCATGCACATTTGTACTTCATTGCTTATTGTCTCCCAGTCAATTCCATTACACTTCTTTCATTTCTTCCATATGGTCCTTCCATTTGGTACTCCTTGATACTACACTACCTACACTTTTTTTCAGATCACATTTTTGTTGATGTATGGCTTTCAAAAAATAAAAACCACACAAGACTAGGAAAGAAGTGCTCACATTCCTCCCTCCTTTTTTTGTCTCTTTCTCACCACTTTCCAGCGGAGAAGAACATGTATCAAGAGGAGCACCAAAAATTTTAAATGTGCATCTACACACCTAAATATTTAAGGGGAAGACAGCATGAAAGCAGCAAACAAAACAAAAATGCTTATTTTGCCCAGGCAACTTCCTCATGGCTCTACTAAATTGCTTTCCTCCCTTTTCAATGCTAATAAATCACAACTTCAAGTGTAATCACAACTGTAAGACAATAAATGAGCCTTAAATAGGCAGTAAGTTTGTTTTACGTACCAACCAACTGCGCAGGACAGAAGTAATTAACTAACTTGACCTAAATTACTTGTAATGCTTATGTTGCATAATGAAAAGCCAAACAACTAGATGGTTTGCTTGCTTATTGGAAATTGGGCTTTATAGAAAAATAAGAACATAAAATGTATCTTTTACCACTTCCTGTTGCTGCTGGCCGAAAGGAAAGTAGTCAGTCTTCTGGTTTGAAAGGACCAAAAGATGTCAAATAATTTTGAACAATGTGATTTGGGGGGGTTGGCATTTCCAGAAGGGAAAATAATGCTAAATTGCAATTATTATTAAAGAGACACATTAAACAAGAATTAGCATGTTTATCTCACCTATAGCCTCTGAAACTATGCTGTCTTTGTGCATATCAAGTGGAACAAGCTGTGGAACTTGGCAAAAAAAGCCTGGACAAGTTTGATCTTATCAGATTACAGGCTAATTAAATGTCTACTGTGCAAAGCCTTAAAAGAACACCATGAAGCAGAAGAGTCAAGGGCAATATCAAATGAAAAAATCCTCATTCATCCCGTATCAAGGGATTAATATTCAAGCCCTGATATTGTGCTGTTCATCTGTAACTCAGGAATGTAATTTTCCTTACTAAATAAAAATGTAACTATAGCAAATCCTATCAGCAAAGAAAAGTCCACATTTTATCGATCACTGGTTGAATATTAGATATGCCTATGCCTTTGACTGGCTTTGTTAAAAAGACTTTAAGCTTTCTACATGCAACAAATAGCCTTACAAAAAATGTATAGAGTTTCCTCACTTAGGCAAGTGTTTCAACTAATGCCTCTTGCAGTGGAAAAACAGGGAGTATTTAGACAATGCATCTTTGGTGTTTTGTAACTCAATTCTCTCAGGAAAGTCAGCTGTCTCTCTCAGTGCATTCACTTCTTTTAACCTTATATGACTTCCCAAATTTTTCAGTATGTACTCAGCATTAAATGGAACATGTATTCCCCTTCCATGTGTTGCAGCCACTATAGCTGACATAGGTTTTTGAACAGGACCAGTAAAAGAAACTATTACACAGAAAAGTGTCTGTATACCACACAAATAATAATGTGGGTATTACTTGTGAAATTAGAGCTCCACAGTTATTAGCTACAAATTGATGACTCAACCTAGGAATCAATCAATCTAAAAGTTCCTAATAAAATTTTAATGAAACAAAGACTTTAATAGAAGTCTGAGAAGTCTTCAACATCTTCTGGTTTTTTTGCTTTAGGCTCATGAGAAGTACGCACTAGAGTATGTACTAGCTCTTTTTATTCCCCACAGGGCCCTCAACTCTGAAGCACTTCAAAAGCCTGGAAGCTCAACAGGGAATACTTCCAGTGTGTGCCACAGCAATGATCTACTTGTTTTGCTGGCTGCCCTCACCAATTCACTCTAGAATATTCTCCTCTTCATACCTTTGAGGTACATACCTGTTACAAAGTGAAGTAGTGAAACTTAGTGAAAGTCAAGGATGAGATAGCACAGGTTTGCCCATTAATTCCTTCTAACAGAGAAGACTACATAGCAGTAACAGCAAAGAACAAGGATTTTCAATTGTATTCTCAGTTTCTTGCTTCCTGAATGACCTTAGTGAAGTCACTTCATCTATCTTCTCTGATTCTCTTACAGACTTATAAAGCGCAGTGAGATACTACTATTAACACACTAATAATACAAGGCGTAAGTATTGTCTGTCCTTTTACCTCATCTCTACGTCAAACAATGTTACTTGCTGCCTAATAGGATACTGATAGTGGGCTTGAGCATGCTGCATGTAAAATTAATTTCTGGGTATTTACGGTCTGTAGGGTGTTTCAATGCAATTAATTCAAAGAATAAATAAGTACATACATAATGACTGGGCTCTAGAAACTCACCTCCATGCAAATCAGGGAAAAATATTAGCCATGAAGCTTTAAATAACATAGGCTCAGTCTCCACCAAATACCCTTTGCCCTTCCTTCCCTCTGTGGATGTACTTTGCTGCAGTCTCAGGAGAGACCCCAGTGACTATTTCAAGAAGGATCTCCATCTATGAAATATTCTGCTTGTTGTATTCCAGATGCTGTACTGGACAACCCTCAGCAGAACGGGGTTATCTGGTTTTCCTTTTAACCTAAAAAAATGCCAGAATTCTGCATAAAGCATCAACATGTTTAGCTACACCATATACTGACCGCAGAACTGCTCACCACATGGCTGAGGTTTTGCTGTTGTTTCTTTAAACATTTTTACAGTTGGTTGAGACATCCATCAGTTGCTATACAGCTATAGCACTAAAGGTCTTGAGTAGCTTTTACTTTTCCTTTAAGCTTAGGAGAAATACAGTCTGTCTGTATTTTTAGTCAGGATAAAGGTACTAACGAGGTCTATTGAAGGTACTGAAACACAAATCTGCTACCATTACCAGAGTTTCAGTTTTACTGGAGAAGACAGCACAATAGTGGAGATTATTTAAAAAAAAAAAAAAAAAAAAAAAAACC